CTTTTTGCAGCACGCGCGCATCAGCGTCCCCTACGTAAAAGGGACGAGCGAGACATTGGCGCGCGCGCTGCGAAAAGAAGGGATCCAAGTGGCGCACAAGCCAGTGTCAACATTAGGACGGCTCATGCCAAGGCCGAAAGATCGCCTACCAAAAGGGAAAGCACAAGGCGTGGTCTATAAGATACCGTGTGCAGAGTGCCCCACCGCCTACATCGGTGAAACTAAATCTTTTCCGGAACGCATGCGCCAGCACCAGAACGATGTGTGCAATTTCGATCGTGAGCGTAGCGCCGTCGCGGAACATTGTGAGATATTTGATCATTGGATCGACTTCGGAAACGCGCACGTGATAGACACGGAGCCACATATTCGAAAACGCCTGTTCTTGAAGTCGTGGCATATCCAGAATACACCGGGGAACGTTAACAGGTCCCTTGGGGCCTTACTGTCTATTTACGTTCATGGCCTGCGACACGTTCACAAAATATCACCTCGGTAGAAGAGGAAGGAGAGGTCGAAGCTTGTGCTGTGGCATTCCATTTTTAATCACCCCTGAAGAAGGAGTCAAGTCGACCCCGAAACGTTGGGAACTCTTTGTTTATAAACTTTTGGTTTGAGTTTCCTTTTCTCCGAATTGTTCCCCAAACCAGACAGATTTCTGTCGAAGATGTTTACTTTCAAGATAGTGCAGAGTGGTTGGCCCATAGCTACACATCAGTGGGTGTCTCAGATCTGCCCAAAATCTGCTTAAAGGGACACTGACGGGTATTTATGCTCGTCAAGGTTTTGATTTCTACATGACGCAAAAGAGCCCAACTACTCGGAGCACAATTTGCGGCTCAAATTTCTTTTCTTCCGGCCCGAAAACCACCGATCGAGAACTGGCCGGTTCGAGTCGTGCTTACTGTCTTCTTCATGGTCACGAGCCGTTGTCTATGGTTTACTCACAACCACCAAAGCTAATCAAAGTTGTGGGTCATCGATGGCACACACCTAATATTAAAAATAGAAGCAAAAAATGACACCTATTTTTTGTGGCTTCTAAAAAGCCGCAAATACTTTGATTGAAGCCAGCCACGTGACTTCCGCCAACTCTCTCCTCCTCTATATTTCTTCTTCCTCCCCAGTCCAGTTTCGATTTCAGTTTTGAGCAGTTGCATCTTTTTACTTTATTAAAAATATATGGGACGCCGTAGCAAAATATTGATTGGGTAGTCTTCCGACACCATAATAAATTGCCTGGCAAGAAATAAAACAAATTTTAAGGGGTGTTAGTGTCCCTTTACATAACACTTCACTGGGGGTAAGGGACAACCCAGGAAATTTGGGAGCTTGGGGAGAGTAGCGTGGGCCATCATCCTAAGAAACGGGCTTGGTTTGTTGCGATACTCTCTTTGAGATGGGTATCTGTATTTCTGTATGAAAATACAAATGGATTTGTGTTTCAGTAGTGAAATGCGCTGACAATATGTCGCAATCGTCCACCATGCTTCGTCAGATTTGTTGTCGACCATCATCCGTCGAGTCCTTACGATAAACTAAAAAACAGCCCTTTGGAGCGCGGGGCCCCAACTTCACCGCATGAACTTGACCCAGGGGGGGAAATCCGAAAGGAAAGCCCGACACGTTGCGAGCAGTTACCAAAACATGAACCATTTGCGTTGGCCACGAACCGCAGTTTGGAAGAATTAGTATTTGTGCACGTATTCCAAGATTGCTGCCCCGCTAGGAACCCAGTTGCCACGGTCTAAGCGCAGCTCGTTTAGGGGCCACAGTTTCAAAAGTTTCTTCTTTGGGAAGGCGAGTGCTGGAGCTGGGCAGTGGCGTGGGGCTGACGGGCCTGGTGGTGTGCCGGGCGTGTCGGCCGTCTCGCTACACCTTCACCGACGGCCATCAAAGCGTCCTCCGGGTGGTGGAAGAAAACGTGGCCACAAACCGGTGGCCGTCCATGCCGGACGTCAAGGTGGAGACGCTGCGCTGGGGCCAGCAGCTCGAGGAGGACCACTTAGGGACCGACGTGGTACTGGGTGCCGGTAAGCCATGCCTGGACTTTTTCCTCTTTCTTGGGTTGTTTTTTACAGCTCCGATTTTTCTCAAATCAGCTCGGGGGTCGATTTTGGGGTTTATCTGTATTTACTGACGGAACCCTAATTGTGGGTAGAGTCCCGTGTTTGCAACAAATACCGACAAACCCTAAATTTAAGCTTTGAGTTAAAGTATCTTTCCGTGAAGCTTGGTTTTTTTTTTATTGAAGTACGACTACAACTCCGGGTTTTTCTGTTTTCCCCAGTAATAATCACGTCGGGTCAGGGTTACTTTTCGGGATTTATCCGTGCATACTGAAAACACGGAACCCTAATTACAACAAATCTTTAAACGTGCAGTGTAATCCACTCATTTTGCAAAGTGTGATCATTTCATCGAGAGTTTATTAAGAACGAATAATATGTAATAAGCCTGGCTCGAAATTTGTGCTTTCTTCTTTTTTGTTCGTTGTAATTGGGTTTCGTGTTTTCGGTAAATACCGATACACCCCGATAATTAACCCCCGATTTTATCTAGATGGGGGAACACGGAAAAATCTCTAATTGAAGCTTGAATTGAATTGAGATTGAGAAAAAGATTGAGTTGGTAGAAGAAAAAGTTGAGCCTCAAAGGAAGAAAAAGACAGCATCCTTTTCTGTTGAGTCGAAACACGGCCCCTGGTGATCTGGCCACCAGGCTGCTGCTTCGGTCGGACCTTATTTCGCTTCCGTCTCTGGTCGACACAGGGAAGTTGTCCAAGCGCTCGGGTCACGCCTCTCTGGAGGTCGATGGAACTCGTGCCCATGTCCCATTTTCATCAACAGAAACCCCGATTTTTCGTCCAACCCCAAAAATAATGATACTAAAAAGTGCAGAATTTGTGGGAAAAAATTTGCCTAGTAAAAGCAGCGCGAAATTGAAAGAAAAATTAACCCCGGAAAAATGGAACCCTAGTTATAATAGAAGTTTGTTATATGTGAACCTGTTATAAGTGGCTTCACGGTATAGGAAAAACTACTCTATATTTTACGAGTGGCGTATATTAGAAGTTTGCTATAAGTGGATTAGGACTTACACGTGATAACCTTCGCTCAAAGCTTGTTGCTACTTCCAGTTGTTACTTCCATATGCGGGGGCTGTACGCGATTGTAGATTTGCAATTAATTGTTTTGCTGCAGGCACCGATCATTTAGAGGTCGGTACGTACATAAACCTTCCCGACAGTTGCTTCCAGTTATCAGTGTGAGTGCGTGGTATCCTCCGTCTCCTTTTCTTCTTTCTACTACCTTTGACGCGCCCCAGGTGAGCGTGCCTAGTGACAGTTGAGAAAGAAGCCACCCTCGTGCCCGGCCCGGACGGCACGTGCGTTCTAGTCTGGCGCCTGTCTCATGCCTGTCAAGCCTTCAGCCAGTCAAGTCAGCCAGCACTAACTCGCTCTTAGCCCTATTACTTAACATCTTTATTTAATGTAAATATACTTTCCTCATTCCTTTCGAAGACTCAGCCCTCATATCTTATATCAGTTACCGCGAAATGGCGTCCTCACTTTGTGTTTCCCAACGGATGATAATCACTGGTGTCAGGCCACACCCATGCACGATTACATGTCTGACCGGTCGAACGATGTGCGAATGAGACAGCCAAACCCGATCGGACGCCAGCAAATTACGGCTGTACGCGAGTGTCGCAGTGATTGACCGGCAGCCGATCGGGTTCGGCCGTCTCTTCGACACTTTGTACGACCCGTCGGACGTTTGGTCGTGCATGGGTGCAACTTGACTGGGCCTGTTTGATGGCACGAAAAAAACCCTGCGAAGGCACCATTTTGCATACGATCTGGAAGCCTCGGGTGCGAGGTACTTCCAAAAAGTGGTTCCAGTGGTGCATGGGGAGGTACGGGGCGAGTCCGTCGAGAATTTGGACATACGTGCTGACCTCTAAGGGACCGGTCTCTGCGGAAAATGTGGAGTGTGCATTATAGCGAAAAATAGTCCAATTTACGACGGAGGTGCGACTAAAACTGCATTTGCCACATGAAAACACCCAGACTTGGCATCACCTGCTCTACATGATGTCGTTGATAGCGTAGCTTCCGCAGTGCTTCGGCCCCACACTGCAACGCAAAAATGTGGCTTCATCTTGTCGGGACGCAATCTCTTGCGAAGAAGATGCCGAACTAAGCCACGCCCTTATAGCTTTCACGGCGGCGTGGAAACTAGGCCAGTCTCGACAATGCAGGCAAGTGGAATATAAGGAAGATCCTCCTTTGACTAAAAGTTAGAAACATAACTTTTCGTTTACTTTTTTTGCAAATTTTAAATGGATACTGAGGACAATTTCAATTTTTTCCGAACTGCTTCCTCGAGGACTCAACAAAGAGCTCATTTTTAAATTTTTTTTTTTCGAGGACCATAAGTAAGGTTAAATATATTGGGCATATAGCCCCGAAAATGAGCCTCCGAGCGAGTTTTATTCAAATTGAGGAAAAGGGAGAAATCTCGTCCTTGATTCAGAAAAAGCCAGACTTGATGGGAGGTTTACTTGGTGTTGAGCCAGAACAAGGCCCCCACTTAACTGTCCGCGAGGCTGCCTGTTTCTCCTCCGTTGGCTTCCCTTATCGGCGCAGGAACATTTTTACTGGAACGACACTCCCTGGAGGTTGGGGAATCTCATGCCCCTGCCGATAAACACCCATTTCTTGTCCAACCCCAGGGTGGAGAAAGACAATTTAAATCGTGATTTAAATTACGACGGTATAAATCAAACCATAAAAACAATTAAAAAAGTATTACATTTATCATCCATCACTCGACGCTTTCTATGGGCATTTGTTTTGTATTCAAATCAAAGAATCGTCAAGCAGGAAAGGTTTAGATTATACGAGGCAGAAAGTTGGCCGAGTTGGTTGATTCCCTTACAAGGTAGGATGGTGGAGAAAACAGATGCAAGAAACAAGGAAGGCACAAACACAGCGCTGACTTTCAACCCAATGTTTATTCTAGCCAACTAGAAAAAAGATGAAGGGGAAAAACAAAGGCACATAATAATGATAAAAATATTTCTACCGCACCATATCACCTACATACAAATCTGGTATATTTCTTGGTAAAGCCTGCAGCTTGAATGAATGAATGAAAAAAACAAATAGGAAGGAATCGGTAGAGCATCAGTCAGTTGATTTCCAGTGAAGTTTGAGAGTGAATATATAATAGCCAGGCGAGGGTGAATGTTTGAAAACTTGACATTGATGTTATACTTTCCGGTAGACCGTTCCATGTTTTAGTTGCTACATATGTGAATGAAAAAGCACCGTAGTTAGTTTGAATTTGCAGAATCAGAGACATTGGTGTACACAATCTGAGTGGGTGGTCACGTGTTTTGATGTGTCAGGTGTATTGATGGACAGTGTACAAGATTGGAGAGAAGCCTGAAAATTAATGTGGATTACAGTGTTCTTGATGTTGTTGAACGATGACATGTTAACACACACTCCTTTAAAAGTTGCGGTGGCTGCATGCGAAACTGCCGACGCTTGAAAGAACAGACTGGTTCTCTGAAAACAGCAAACCCCTACTCTAAATGTTTCATTTCATTTAATATACCCTTAAAGTGCCCAGGGCTTTACATAAGGGGGGGCATACGCAACAGATATTAAAGAAATGGAAAACACAAAGATGTCAGGTTGCTAAGTATTAAAAGAGGTGCCGAGTGCAGCTCTGAAACCGGACGATTCCTGAATATTGACAATACTCTCTTGAAGTGAGTTCCAGTCTGAAATGGATAACTGAAGCGGTGGAAATTTGAAATGGTTTGTTTTCGGTGTGGTCAAATGAAGTTTTTGAGAGTGGTCAGTACTTGTTGAAATGTGATGTGCAGCCGGGCAGTACAATAATGAATTTTATCGAGAATCAGCGTAATGACACCAGCGATTTCGGCATCATTTTTTTTCTTTGTTTTTGAAGATTCCATAGTTTGCAAACTCTTTTCAAACATCTCAGTCTTCTCTTCTGCTTCTTTTTTTTTTTCCACAGTTGCATGGTGTGGCTGGGGGAGCTTGCAGGTCGGTGCACGGCACTCGTCCAACTCTCCTCGATCGTTGGATGCTTCACTTTCTAAGGATAAATCATTTAGCGTTTGTAAGAATGCAATACTGCATTTAAGAAAAACAAAAAAAAACATTTTAGCGCAATATTTATGTTACAAGACATATACTGAGTTCCCCAAAACTTGCTTTACTTCCCTTAAAATTGCTCCTTACCCAGCGAGATGCACTAAACATTTTTTTATTTTTTGGGGGGAAGCTTTTTTTTGTGTAAAAAATGTTTTTTGGGAGTTTTTTATTTATTAAAAGTGAGTAGCAACCATCTTTGCGGTGGATCCATGCGCCCAACTAGACAAACTCCCCGAGGGCGTCCCGCGAATGACTCAGTCTTTGTTCTTCCACAGACCTAGTGTTCGACCCCGACCTGATCGAGCCGCTGGCAGCAACCCTGACAGACCTGTTGCGGCATAGAGGCACGGCCTACATCGTTTCGACGATTCGCAACGCAGACACATACTACACGTTTCAAACGGCGTTGGGTGGGTGCTTGTCCCGAGCCTCCCGAATTTCCTTCCAGTCTAAGGTGGCGTCGAGATTCAACCAATGTGACCCTGTTGCAGGTTAAAGGGAAGCACTTTTTGAGAAATCCAAGTTAGGAGCAGACTTCTATGGCTTCTTGTCTCGTAAATTCAGTTATTACACTTGTGTAGAAGTAAATGTAAACCGCATTTATTATAAAAAGTACACGCAGCAATTGCCGCAGCGCATGCGGCGAACCTCTCTGCCACCTGTTGTCTGTCTCAAGCGCCGTGACTTCATCGTCGGCATCCTTGAGCTAGCTTAGTGGCAAGGAAAGGTCATCTGACCTCACCGATGACGTCAGTCTTGCTAGGTTTTCTCACCACTCTAGTGCTCTGCTGCGGTCGTTGTGTTACAACGGGCAAAGTAATATGTGATGTCACGGTGTCAACAACGCTAAAAATCTTGCGACGTCCTCAATTTAAGCCGACGCAGTGAGTCACGCAAGTATGTCATGGGGCCACATGACGTGACATTACTCGACAGCATGTCTTGACGTTACGTGACCCACGATTGATCTTAGTGCCAATACAAAAGCGCTACCAAAACCAACAATTTCTCAAACATTGCAAAAGACGATATGTGAAACTGCTTGGTGGTCTGGCAGCACTGTGCTTGTGGCCATCTTGGTAGCTCCAAATTTCCTGAGTTTCGGTTTCTCAGCATTTTCAAAGTAAAGACGCTTTGCCATTGATTGTGATTTAGCAACTTTATTGTTTTCCGACTTCCAATCATTCCACGTGAAAAATGGACTAGGCCGTCGTGCCTTTCATCTGTGAGGACACTTTCAATCCTTTTTTCGATGGAAAGACGCATGAAGTTGTTCAGTTTAGCGGTAACTCCGTGAAATGAAGTTGGCATCGCCAGGTCCAGATCAAGGAATTTTAATGCCTTGGGCTAAGGCAGTTCATGAGGCTCATAATGATAATATTGACTATGATGACGATTGTGGTGATGGTAACGACACAGACGGCAATATGTATATTTCACCGCTTTATAAAATACAAATATTGTTCATTTTATGATACATTTTAGAATGTTTCTGTACCGGTAGATTCATTGATTAGGGTTTCACTGGGTCGAAATGAGGCAGATGCCATTGTGGATTAGAGGCTCACTAAGAGCACAAAGCAAAGGATGATTGTGAGAAATGTGAAGTGTCGCGCACATTGAGCAGCTCCATAGGGCCTCACAAATGTCGGATGAAATTGTTGTTTAAGTAGTTGTTTGACAAAGTCGACAACCCTATTTATGCAGTATGTGTCTCTGCCGGCTTGCATAAATTCATCATGACGTTGAGTTAGAGAGATGGCACGGTAACCCTTTGATGTCCAGTGGCATGATTACATGAGCACATATTTCATTAGACAGTAACCAAGAGGACTGCCGCAAAGTTCGTATTACAAAAAAAAAAAATAGGAATTTTGCAACTTTAAAGACATGTCTCGCGATTCACAACTTGAAAACTGTCCGATAATATAGTGTTTTTATTCCACTAATTGCTCAGATTGATCTGAGCTTGTCCAATTAGCCCTTTTTAACTTTTGTACAGACTAGAACAGTAAAGCAACACAGACAACAGTGTAATCTTGGTGACAACGCTCGCTGCTCCTTCTTCGCATGTTCTTTTTTGGTTTCAAGCACACTTTCACACCCATTAAATCTATAGTTGTTCTGTTTTCTCCTGCCTTATCGTCCGTCATTCGTGACAATATGTCCTTGCACTTCTGCTTTATCTTCCTTTGAATCTTCACTAAACGTGAATTGTGAGTCGGCGCTTGGTTCGTGTCTTCTGCTTGTGCTCGTCTTTAGTGCTACCTTTATTTGTGTAATGCACCAGGTAATGTGAACCTTACCCTCTCTTCTCCCAGAGACAGCGATGCTGCAGTGGACAGTCGTTCTTCCCCCGCAGAATCGGGTCTTTGTGTACGACCGGTCGTGCAAGATGGAAATCCTCCGGATCACGCGAGCGTCTTCAACAACTCCATGAGTTTGCGTGCATTTTGGTTCAACCAAGACAGACTTCCTGAAATACAATCTATTTTGCCTTTCCATTTGAACAAACTGCCGATCCAGACATCGGCGATCCTGGAGAGACCGGCATTAATGGCATATTAACCTCAATTTTCTGCGAGAACTCCTCCTCTCTCTATCCTCCCATACTGCACTCGTTGCGAGGCACACACAGTGTGTACATTAACCCTTCGAACCTACTTTAGACGGTCCGCAAAAGGTGGTTTCTCAACGTATCGCACTGAAATCTAGGCTGAACTTACCCCGGTAAAAAAAAAAAGAGAAAAGAAGAACCTGTTTGGGGCAATATATGGCGGCATTCGCAGACGGCGTGTGCTGTTTGCACAATGCTGGTGACACATGCTGGGAGCGTCGAGGATGCCCCGGCACCGAGCTTGGTAGACGATCTTCCAAAAATGTTTCCTTTCCTCAGTGCAGTCCCTGTCTCTGCAATGCTCAATTTTTGAAAGTGTGATGATATTTTTAAATAAACTAAATATGAAAAGAAGTCCCCCAGAGCCCCCCATCCCTTGTACAAAGACGATCAAACGAGCTGCCGCATTCTCTCATACTTTACGTTGCAACATCTATCGACAGCCCTTCCAAGTCGGCAAGCACCGTCGTGGCACCATCTAAAAATGTCGCCGTAGATTGCCCGTGACAGGTTTTTCTTTTTTGAACGAGCTAAGTTCATTCAATGATATTTTTTACTCCAAACTTGCACCACCTAGCTGCACCTCTCTAGTAAATCACAGCGAGATACATTGAGAAACTGAAATTTGCGGACTGTTTAAAGAGAGTTCAAAGCGTACATGATGTAGTTGAAATATTCAATATTTGTGAAAAAGAAAAACCATTACAACCTGGAAAACATAATATGGAAGAGGTAAAACTAGAATGACCAACATTTGCGATTAAAACGTGAACGCTGTCGGCAGTGTGGCGAGAGCAAAAACCATGTTTTTCTGCATACTAAAAGTTTAGCGATTCCAGGCCACGCAGGAAGGTCTATAGACAGACACGCGGGCTTGACGTCACGGCGCTGCGATCCCGCCGGAGCCGGGGGGTGTGGGCAAGAGAGCGCACGTTTTGCATGGGCGTCGTAGCATTTCAAGCATGCCGCGAAGGTGTGTTGCCGTTAATCTCACCGAAATGTACAAGAAAAGTAGCGGAGTGAGTTTCTACAAGTTCCCGGCAGACCCTGAAAGACATAGAAGGTGAATAATATCCGTAGATCGAAAATTATGGTCGCCTCGCACGAACGACCGTTTGTGCGGCAAACACTTTCTTGGAGGCAAGTGCGGCAAGTGGAGACGTTGACACACAGGTACACATCCAGATAAAGTTAACGAATATGTATATCTGGTTTATTTGCATACACTCACAGACTAGGTTTGGATCTTATGAGCTACGCGAGACCTCTCTGAGTCTTGGTAGCATCTTGTCCCATCAGATGCTCAGCGTAGACTGCCTTTCTCTTTCCCGCGCGCCCCCAAAATTCCAGGAATCGTCCCCACTTTCCCGGGTGTCTGGTCAGCATCACTTGTCACCTCGCTGGGTCGCTCCGCACTCCCCCCCCACACACACACACACACACACACCGCGTCGTTCTGACTCGGCGGTACTTCTCGCCGACTCCCCACATTTCCAACCCCGGTGCTTGATATTCGGGTTACCTCGGAATTCGTCAACTGCCGTCGCGTCCGGGACTCATAAACATGTCAAGGCCCGCATTCCTTGCCCGGTCCAACCCCACCAAAATCCCCCTAAGACAACAACCCAGAGGTCTTCAAACCTAACAGGCCCGTTAGTGGGCAGCCAGATACCAGCGGACAAAGCATGCAGTATTATGCTCAGCTACGGGGACACAATGCCTGCAATGTATCAGAATTGTCAGTGTACATCCAACAGCTACTGAATATATTTTAGGAGTGTAATACTTTTCCTGTGTTTCTTAAGCATATAAACATAGTACCACTAACATCAAAAAAAGACAATTTATATGAGCTTAACACTAACCACAGGGAGCCAAACCTGCGTAACACACTTTCAAAATATATATTCGGGCTAATTCCTACCCTTCGTTAGGATCTTGGGTCCACCAAAAGTACCTACATTCTTTTCATCAATGAGAGCAAATGTAAGCTTTTTTTAAACATAGCATACATTTGAGCAAGAGCTCCGAGAAATGGAACCGCGAGTGTCATCTGCCCTCATCGGCTGCTTCTGCACGGTTACTGAACTGACTACGGAGCCGGTGCAAGGTTCTGAAGAACTGGGTCTGTACTCTTTCAGAACTGAGATGAATCGAACGTGCCAGTGCAGCAGCCGTGCAACTTCCGGTTGAATCGAATGTTGCACAGCTGAACTAGTTCAGCCAGTTCAAGCGAATCGAATAGACCTATACACGTTGCCCACTATGCTGGCCACTAATCCCAAACAGGTTTGGCAAGATACCAGTGATAACTACTTGCAAAC